CTAATCTGCAGAAACTTTGTCCTTAATAATTTGGGCTATTCCCAAAGCTCCCGAGACTGAGCCCTTTGCTTTATCTTTGATGGATTCAGCTGTATCTGAAACTTTTTCTGTTGCCTCCTTTGTCATTTTCGTAACCTGCTTAAATAATAATTCTCTCTTAATTAGTTATTTTAACAATGTTCAATATTGGTTAGGTAACTTAATTACATCGGAAAAATATAAAGTCCCGCAAATTTAACGGAATTGATGAAATGTAACAGTTTGAAATTGTCTAGGACCATTTTTTTTTTCGTTTTTTATGAAAACATATATATGTGTTATTTTTATCATCATTATTTGTTAGATATCAAATTGTGTATAAATGAATCATGTGATGTGAACACACAAAAGTTTAAAAATTAATTGTATATATGATCTATAATTACAATAATATATAGCTAAACAGTTGTACTACATATTAAAAATATATATAGTGACAAATATAATCGCATGCATATATGCATGTTCATAAATATCATAGTGTACAGTAGAAGGGAAATTAATTATAATTTGATATATATTATACATGTATAACTTACGGTTTTGGCAGTTGTTTCCACAGTGTCTCTCATGAATTCGCAGGTTTCCCTTACTTCTTTTGCCCCACTTTTTACTGCTTCTGCTGCTTCTTTCGTCTTTTCAATTGCATCTAGTTCCTCTTCATCCTTCTTGGACTGTGCCTATTCATTACAAAACAATGATCTTGTTACAAGAATATTAAAATGATCAATTTCGGGTTCGTTATATATATATATATATTTGTATCATGATCTTATTGTAACAATATTTCACATTTTGCTGCTACATATATGTGGATGAAAATTAATGAACTATGCAGAGATTATCTTGTTGGCATATGTGTATTAAATGGTCATGAAAACCAAGTATTATATTTGGATTTTAGTGAACAATAATCAAATTGATCAGTGATAGCTTGTCCTCATTTAAAATGAAATTGTAACCATATTTAACATTTTTGCTGCTTCGATATATATTTTCCACAAAGACTCCTATCTAATTTTAGTACCCTTTACATGGTAGAACAGTAATTAATTAAGATCATAGGGATTGGGTGACATGGACAGATAAGAATGATGAAAATTATCAGACGTAATGCTTTTTAATGGAGAAAAACATGAATTAAATTAAGGAATAAAACATTGAAGTTGGGAGAGACGCCTTTTAAACCTCAAATAAAACTATTTCCTTTCTAATTTGAGGCATATTCAAACGTGGAAGGAAGATACGTGCATGTATTTTCATGTTGATCACTTTAACAATAAAATTGTATTGTTTTCCGGCTTAATTTTATTGTTGAGCTCTTGAGTTCGAATTCTACGTATTCTTTTAAGGAGCTTTCTAATGTTAGGTGTACGTTTTTAAACGTTAAATTTAATCAAAAACATAATATATATATATATATATATAAGTGATAAAATTTGATATAGATCTGATATTAGTTCAAAATAGATCTAATAAAGAGTTCAGTAGAATTCTCTTTTTTAAATTATGTCATTTCTATACATAAACAATTCGTAGTACTAGAGATAAATGTTTTATATGGAAATTAAACCAATATAAAACACATAACTAGTGATAGAGGTATAAATAACATAAATATATATGTATATATATATATATATATAGACAAAAATACTGCAAGGAATATATACATAGTAAACAACTTACTTGCAGCGGCCTTGTGGCTGCAATGGCAAAAGCTCTTGATTTGGAAGCGCTTTGAGCTGTGAGTGAAGGCAAGAATTTTGAAAGTTTTGAAGTGAGTTTTAAGCTTGACATCCTCTTAAATCGTCGCCGTTGTAAAGTTGCTTAGGCAAGAGCAGTTTTGAAGTCCTTTAATTCTTGATGATAATATATATAGAACTAAAATTAGTCTTGTAAATGTGGAATTAATACGAAGGAATTTATATGTGGCACTTACTGATTACTCTCGTAAACACGTGTGAAACATGGAGAACATTTCTCCCTTTCATGGCCAAAACGTACTGATTTTAGTTATCAATTTGGAGCCGTTCGTTCCCTGGTCTGCTGGTAGTTTTCCTAGAGATTTGCATTTGCTTATTCAAAACGTACGTACATACATACATAGATTGTGTATGCGTGATCAAACCACAAAAAAGTTCGGTTTTACATGCGATCTCACGTAACATACAGAAGTGAAAATATAACATAAGAACGTTACACCACTTTTAAAGAAGTACAACATAGTCTTTGTACGAATACATATTTTGATGTTACACATCTGCAACATCAATGCTATACGATGATTTTGTTGGGATATATGCCCATAAATTAAATAAAATGTAAATATTTTACTGATTATCAATGAAATAAGGAATTTTTTCAATATTATTTTACATGCATGTGATGTTTTATAAATATCAAAATCCCTAGATTATTTTATATGTAACTTTAAATATTGTATATAAGTGTTATATGCAAAGGATAATATTTGAAGTAAAATAATCTAAACTTGTCCGTAATTATAAATTAAAGTTAGGATCTTTAATTTAAAATTACTAATGCAGTTCATTACATTCTTAATGAAACAATCTTATCCTAGATTGTTAATAATCAAATTATTGGAATGAAAGCATTTTATGTAATATGATTACATAGGATCATAACGTGATTAATTATGAATCTCAAATAAATTCTATTATTAAATAGAGTATTCAATATTAATCAATGATGGTCCTATATGAATTAATCTTAATTCTGAGTAATTAATAGACTCTTATTTACGATATTATGTTCTTTGACATATTGAGTAATGACACATGTGAATAGTGTCAAAATCTTGGTATAATGGGAGCAAAATAAAATAAATAGCTGGAAATTTTAATTTACAAGATGAAATCCATTCATTCATAATGAAGTAGATTGATGGTTCCCAAAAGTGTTGATTTGGGACTTGAATAATAAGAGCGCTCAATTTTATGATTTGATCATAAAATATATTATTTATTAGAGGATCAATGGTACTTATGGAGAAAGATATAATTAAAGAGGTCAACGGAAAATACCTAGCTTTAATTATGAACCGTTTATGGAGGATTAATTCATATCTAGTGACTATATCAATGGACAACACAAATTCCGTGAACATAATTACTTTATAATTTTAAGAGTGTAATTCTAAATTTATAGTGGAGTAATTTAGAATTAATAATTTTGATATATTAATTAAGGTGTTAATTAATTGTCAAAATTATTTGAGCTTAAAATTATAATGTTTATAATTCCTCTCAACGGCTCTATAAGATTAATGTAAACTGTATATATATCATATTAGGTTATGATCATTAATTTAGAATAGAGAATTCTAAATACACATATATTAATTAATTCGATTAATTAATATTAAATTTTTTTTAAATTAATATGGATGAATTTAATCATTTTTATAAAAAGAGAGAAACTTTTTTTCTCATATATATATATAAGAAAGGAAACGTGCAGCTCATAAGTGCACGTTTCCTCAGTGAAAAATCAAAAAAATAAAAGAGGGAGAGGGAGGAAACGTGTTGTTGGACGTTTCCTCAGCATGAGCATGAGGAAAAGAAGAGCAAATGTGCGGCTGCACATTTACTCGTAGAGGAATCAATTTTTTGTTTTTTTTTTTTGTGTTTTTTTCTCAGAAAAAAAGAGATTTCCAGAGAAAAAAACAAGGAGATTTCCAGAGAAAGAAAAAAGAGATACCGGAGAAGAAAAAGAAAAACTAAAAAAAATCTCTTGAGTGCTATTACATACTTTTGAGAAAAGTGAGTGATAACTATAGGTGACCTTCCTAATTCATCCATCTCATGTGTTGAGAAACCCATTAGAACATCTACTCGTTCAAGTTCACGTTGATCCGGAGATACGTTGAGAAAGAACCCTGGTGTTCTTAGAAATTAAAGCTCAAGACGGTGTTGGAAGAGTTCAAGATTAACGTCTTAATCGAGCGATGGTAAAATTTTTCTTCTTCTATTTAATATCTTAGTAGTTAAATTAACATGAAATAATGATCGCATTAAATTTTGATTTATGTGATTCAATCGATACCACACTTCCGCACAAGTTTTTTTGAAAATCCGGTTTGAGAAACCAACAATTGGTATCAGAGCCGTCTTTATTTCATGCTAATTTAACATTTAATTATGTGATAATTCATGTATGTCTAATGGGTAGGCACTTATGCATATGATGTATAATTCTTGTGTGATGGTTATGTATTATGCGAATGGATTGGTCGTAAATTTTTCCGGTTCCATAAAATTAGTTTTTACTATTTTATTTTGATTAAATCAATTGTAAAATACGTATCCATATGTAATTTGTTATTCTTCAATTGCAAGTGGATCATCATAGAAGAGTTCCAACTATTTTACTTTTTGGAAAAGTTCCAAACTATTTAAAAAAAAGGTTGACTGGTGACGGTACGGTTGACGGTGACAGTCGCCGGCGAAGGGGCGGCTTCCATGGCCGAGTGTCGACCATGGCAGAACTGCAGCAGCCTCAAGGCTGTTGCAAGTGATTGTGCCTTCAGGTGCAGTCGCGGGTGCAAGGCCATTGTACCTTGTGGTGCAATGGCCCAGGCCCAAATGGGCCTGCTCTACCTCAGTAATGAAGCAGAGGCTAATTAGCCATTATGGGCTGGCTTTTCCAGCCTGCCCAAATCCCAAAACGGCCCAAACCCATTTTTTTAGATACACCAAAATGGAGACATGAAGATTGAGAGAATTACAAGAAGACCAATTGTGATGTAATTTTATTTTTATTATTATTTTGGGTTGTAATTCTTCGGTCTATGGAACCCGGTCAAGTTTTTTCATTTCGCTTGCATGTCTTTATTTATTTATTTATTTATTATGATTTATAATAATTGTATTGTCATACATCTAACATGTCATCCAGGATAAAAAGTTCCTATCTAGTTTATATGTATGACATGCATCATGCACATTAATTATTTATTTTAATTCTAAAATTGTTTTAGTAAATTAAATTAATTAAATGCGTCAAATTGTTGAGTTTAATGAGTCTTTGGATGTTTGGTAGAGGGATTCATTCCCTGATTCGAATCATGATTCATGGTTCACTACAATATTTTTTCTCACAAAAAATTCACGTAAATTGAAAATGGTTCAAATCACATGGTTTGAATCCTCCAACCAAACGTCCTCAAAATTCAAAGTTATCAAATTTAATAAGATTAAATTTAAGGTTGTTAAATTTAATGAGATTAAATTTAAAAAAATTAATTAGCAAATGGTTTTGCAAAATTTAAATAAGTCAAATGTTAAATTTATAAATTTAAATGTTAAATTTTAAAATTGTCACAAATGACTTAATGTAATTTTAAAGTTGTTTAAAATTATATGAAACTTAGTGATTTAAATTGTTTAAATTCACTAAGAAGTATAAAACAAGAGTTGTTTTATAAAATAAACACACCATTTGTAAATAATGAGTGGGAGCGGGTAATATGACAATATAACACATAGGTCTCCACCGTTAGTACAAAGCGTGAGTAATTAATGAGGTCCCGAGACGCTTTGATTTCATCCTCCCTACATTGGGTATTTATTAATTATAATAGCAAGGTTGGCTTCCAAAGAGATAGGATCTCAAAGATGTATTTTAGAATTGACCTACCCTATGGCGGCAACTTCTAAGTTAAGTCTAAAAGATCTGAAATGGTGGGTTACACTCATAAAGAGATAATTAAATTGGTTAATTATTTTCTTGACCTAAATAAAAAGAAATTAATAAATATTAGAAGTATGAGATATTTCAGATAGCATTTATTAATTGAGATAGTCTCATTTTAATTAGCAATTATTTGACGTACCCTACGGTGACACTTAATTATGGTGATTAAAATTCCTTAGGCAATTAAACATGTATTTGTGTATTTAACATGTGCATTCATGCATCATTTTATATGCCTTAAATTTAGTAGTGATATTTATGCAAAATGTTGATCGAGTTAAATTCCTTATTTTCAGTAAAAATGCCAAACCCTAATTTCACACTTCTCGCTTCCCAATTTTGAATGGTGAAAACTTTGTCAAATGGAAAAGCAACATGAATATCTTCTTGATCTGTGAAAACTACCATTTTGTCCTTAAGGAGGATTGTCCTCCAGTGCCTCCGGCCAATGCAGCCAGGGCTGCGACCGAGCGATATGATCGCTTGGCCAACACCAACAACAAGGCCCGCTGCTACCTGTTAACAGCAACGAATGATGTACTAAGAACTCAGCATGAAGGCCATGTGACTGCTAGAAAGATCACAGACTCTCTTCAAAGGATGTTTGGACGTCCATTTGATTCAGTACGAAACGCTATTGTTAAAGCCATTATGAACGGCCGTATGAAGAATGGTTCTTCTATACATTAAGATGTGCTTAAGATGATTAATCATCTTTATGAAGCTGAAATCAATGGGTCTCAGATTGATGAGCAAAACCCAAGTTGGCATGATCTTGGAGACACTTTCTCCTAATTTTCTTCCATTCAGGACAAGTTACCTGATGAACCAAAAGAATGATAACTTGATTGAGCTCCTGAATGAGCTGCAACAATTTGAGTCCCTTATAGGTGATAAGGGAGGCAAGGCAAATGTTGCCAAAGCCAATGCAGCTGAGGAAATACTTTCTTCTTCAAAAGGGAACAAGAAGAAAAAGAATAAGGGGAACAACAAAGGGAAATGGAAAAAGATCCAGAAGAACAAGCAGAACAAAGCCACTCCAAAGCCTAAGGGAAAATGTTTCCACTGTAACCAGGATGGCC